AGCAGTGAAAACACGAGGAGCCGCGCGACTTTGAATATGAAGAGGCAGAGAATAGAGGCCATCAGTCGCAGACCCCCGATAGAGCTCAGCCTTCGTGCGGCGGTCCTTAATCACAAAATAGGAATCAAAAAATTCAATAAAAATGGGGTTAGACCGAGTTAAGGAACTCACGGAAAGAAGATTATGAGGCGCATTTTGAACACGGAGAATATCATTGAGGACATAATTATTATTGGAAAGAGTGGCATGAGAGGAACCAGAATGAGTAATGGGAAGCTGTTTACCATTACCAAAGGTGACTTGATCGGTGCCAGCATACTCAGAATGATGAATCAGGTTGTCAAGATCAGAAGTAAGATGATGATTAGCGCCGGAATCGAGAAGCCATTGTTGAGACTGGTGGACTGGTTGGGACGATTGGGCTAAATGAGATGCTGGGCCAGAGGGATAAGTGGGTTGGGACTGGTAAAAAGGGCTAGGGCAATTGGGCTTAATGTGCCCCCTGCCTCCACAATTATGGCAGATCACCGTGGATGGGCCGAGTGGCCCAGCGCCGAGTACACCAGGGGATGTGGGCCAAATACCTCCATGAACAGGCCTGGGAACTGCAAAAGACTAAGAATAAGAACGGCCCTGGGAGGGAAGCCGGGCGGCCACCGAAACGCGCCCCTCTGCCTCGATGAAAGCGGCCAGCACCGCGTCCCCTGCTGGAGAAGAAGGCCTGCGGCTTAACACCACCACCAGCAGCAGTCTGAAAATGGCGGAGCTGCAACTCTTCACTCAGCAATAGACTGTTGAGATTAGCAAACGAAATAGGCTCCAGCCGGGATTCCAGATTCTGCGTGAAAGGACGGTAATCTTCGTCGAGACCATCAAGCACAGAGGTCACCAGTTCGGCCTCCTTAATCGGATCACCCAGAGCCACCATCTTATCAAAAGTCGTCTTGGCCTGCTGAAGATAATCGTGGATTGAGTCCGTCCCGTGACGGAGATGGTGAAGATCCCGACGAAGCTGACCGACGATGACCGGCGAACCAGAAGCATAAACAGAGGCCAACATGTCCCAGGCATCCTTCGCAGTGTGCTTATTGACAATATGGGGCATGACTGCCTCGGTCAAGGAAAGATTGATCCACATAAGAATCAACTAATCATGCCCATACCACTCGCGAAAGGCATGATTGGGCTGATCAGCAACTTGCTCTGGTGGGGCAGGGAGGGTGCCATTAATGTGGCCAACAAGATTATAACAACGAATAAGAGGTTGAAGCTATGCTCGCCATAAGAAGTAATTGGTGGGTGACAATTTGACAGTCAATTGGGGATTGGAAGGTAAAGAGATGGGAAAGAAGGAAGAGGAGGAAGCTGTTGCTAAAGAAGAGGTAGAGCTGGAAGTTGTCGACATAGTAGAGCGACTGAGAAGAAGAACGAGAGAAGAAAAGAGAAGGGGGGAAAGGCTCTGATACCATGTAATTGTCTCAGAAGATCTGAGTTTTCTCTTATTGAATATGGGTTTATATATAGCAGCAGAAATAGCTGAACAGCAAAACCTACGCAGCCTACGCAGAGGTTGCTAAAGCTAAGGAAACAAATTAAAACAGAAAGGCATAGTGGAGGCAGTCTGTTCCGAGTGTTACTTCCTTATCACTTAGGCCAAGTTCAATGCTAGTCCCCAAATTTGGGGATCATCCTCATTTTTTCCTTTTTTACTCCAATGCTGCATTCTCCAAATATAGGGATTTCCTTTATAAAAAAAAAGAATTATATTACTTAAAAATATACTTATCATCATCTAAATAAAATTTGTTCATGTTAATATTTGTATAGTTCGTCATCATTTTTAAATACAAACTTTCCGATAGAATTTTTATAAATTTCGAGAAAGTTTTTTTGGCAAAAAATATTTGCCCTAATTTTTCTTTACGCACAACACTTGAAAATTATTGATCTAATTAAAATTCTAATTAATTTCCTAATTAAACCCCAATTATCCCCTAAAATCATAAAAAGAAAAAAAGCCACGTGGCGGGCTGGTGGTTGTCCAATCCACCAGCACACCCCTCCCTATTTTTGGGGAATCCCCATTTCCATCCTCAAATTTGGGGACCCATTTGAAGATTGTCCCCATATATAGAGACTCCATTGGAGCCAACTTTTCCTCATTTATAGAGAATGCCCCATTTATAGGGTCTCCATTGGACTCAAACTTGGCATAAGCATTAATCAACGAATTTCAAGAAACCAAATCTCTCATGCCCTGACTCCTGATGCTCGTATCCAAAAATCGCACCCGAACTCCAGGTTCTTTTGTTTCTTCTCACCCCTGACGTTGGGTTCTTTAGTAAATCCATCGCGAGAAATCTCCCTCTTTTTCAGATCTGGGTTTTAGTTGGTGCGGTCGAGGAGGGTAAGGGGCACAAGAGAAACTCTTGATGGAGCTCAGGTGTCAGAGATGAAGAGAGCCAGGTCCTGGTGGTAGGGCGAGGCACTTACCAGAGGGAAAGGTGGGATTTGCAGTGAATGACAGATCTGCCTTATTCTGGATTCCTCTTCCTCTATTTTAATTTGGCGTACAATAGGAGAGGGAGGAGAAGACGGTGCTGCCCAAGGTAGGCCAGTGGCGGAGATGGAGTCGTCCGCGGTGGTGATGTTTATGTCGGAGGAAGTATAATAGGAGAGGGTGGAGAAGAGGGAAACCGTCAAACTTGGGTTTTAGCTTGGGGTGGGTTAGGTTGGGTCAGTTATGGGTTATTGTGTGGTTAGATTTTGTGACGTGACAGGATTTGTAAAGGCTCAGATTTTATTTTATTCGGGTTAAAAATAGGTGGTTAAGCGAGTATGTTAGTCATGTCAGCAAATAGTTGAGGGTGTTAATGAAGACTGGAGGATGGTAACAAAGACTGACCAAATACGACATGTTTTACTAAACCTAGTGATCACGAATGGAATTAAATATTTTTAGTGACCAAGAACTTTGTTACTAATTCCAGTAACCAATCTTGTCATTTACCCAATAGAATTTATATACTCTTCAGTAATGAAGGGTAGCAGTTCCATCAACTTGAAAAGCAAGTAACATAAACTGGAATGAAAGCTTGCTCCCCATTGGACAATGTAGTTACTGATTGCACAACAAAAGTAGGGGAAATGAATGCTACAGCATGTTGTCAGGCTATATAGTATATACAAATGTTCCGAGAACCAAGAACATGTTGGTTTTTCTTTCCTCTCTCTGGAGTAAATTGATTTATGTATAGTAATGGATGGATGCATCTCTTAGTTTAGGTTCTGCATACTCAGCTAACTAGACAAAGTAACAAAACACTGAACAGGTATGACATCAAGCATTCTACGGAGGGCCTAGATTGAGATATCATTCCAGTACCCTAGACCCAATGCAGTACGGTACTCTGTCACGCACTCAACAACATTGAGGTAACTGAAGAGAGCTTGAATTTCCGGACCTTTGTCAAGTTCTGAGGCTGAAATACGACTTCTGTACTCGATCTTATAGTCTTTTCATTCCACTCGGACGACGTGGCACCTTCGTTTCGAAAATTACGAGCCGAGGACAATACTTGGAGCCTCGAAGGAGCTACATCAGTTGGACATTTACAGGGAAACGTCAAAGACAAACAAAAGAAACAAGGAAAGAATACAAGAATCCGGGAAGCTGGAGTTGCCAACAATTTTAAATGCTCCCTCAGGGTCAACAGAATATCTAACATTCAATTTCTGGAAAATGAATTACAGATCTTGAAAATCTAGCGGTGCATGAAGTGGCTTGGCAGGAACAAGTAAACATGATGGGTCTATCATGAATGATTGATTACCTAGTCCGAACATACTGGTCTTTTGAACAACGAGCTGACTGACTTTCGATCTTTTGACGTGCTTCAAAGCCATTGTGTCTTCTTTCTTGCCTCCAAATTCCAAGAATTCCCCGAGGACATACTTACTACCTTTGAGCTCCAACCTTGAAAAAGAGGAGTGTTGAGCCTCATTAAGATTCCTCTTTAAGCTTGGGAGAAATTTTACAATGCTATATAGTATTGGTGCTATAGGATTTTTCTTTTATGGTACAACTTAAAATTGTACATTTACGTTATGGTACAACTTCAGATTGTACCTATACTTTTTGTACAAATTCTTTTATGGTACAACTTGAACTTGTATTTTGATGTGATGGTACAAATTAAAGTTGTAAAGTTGTACCATAACATAATGGTACAAATTGCTTTATGGTACAACCTAAACTTATACATTTAATGTTATGGTACAACTTTAAGTTGTACATTAAAGCACCAATACTATATAGCATAGTAGAAGTGCTCTAAGCTTGGTCAGTCGTATATTGTCAGAAACACATTTATTTGGGGTTTCTAATATTATATTAGGTAGGATAATTATAATTATGGTTAGTAGAGATTTAGTCGTATTAGGATTATTATTAGGGTTTCCAGTATTTCCTATAAATATGTACCTTGGGTTTACGTCAGAGGGAATCAAAAAGAATATTAAGCAAAGTCTCCTAAACCATAATCTCTCTTCTCAACTCCTAATTTCTCGTCTCTCCTAATCCAAGCCCTCGGCCGATTCCTAATTCTATTATGTTCTTTCTCATCTAAATCCCTAGTTCTTTCTCTCAACCCCTAAATCCCTAATTGTCACGAGTGCCGAAGATCAGTACCGAGAGACCCTAGAAGCGGGGTTCTCACAATTGGTATCAGAGCCTGGTTGTAGGCACTCGTACCGGATCCATGTCGAGATTCGAAGTTCCCTCAATCAAAGAACTCACCATAGTTCTTAGAATGAAGTTGGAGGCTGCGGGAGTGGAGATGAGTTCAACCACCCCTCCAACCGCAGCCATAATCGAGTCGTTGGTCGCTGAAACATATCTTGAAGATTGGTTGGAACAACCGGCGTTCCCAATCAAGTTCGAGCAAGGGGAAACCACCGCCGTTGTGAAGGCAGAGAAAGAAGCTTTTCTAGCGGCTGTTATGATACCACCACCGTCGTCGTTAGCTTTTCCTCTAATCGACGTCGCTGCCAGGAACATCAAACAGCTGCAGCTGTTGGTGATCACCACCATGTCGACGAGAAAAGGAGCAACGACCCCACCATCGACAACAACGACCTCTTCTGCGACATCACCATCGTCGATGGCCGTTCCCACACTAGTGGAGATGAAGACGGAGGTTGATGGAACTCTGGCGGCAAAGCTGCCGGCCACGAAAGGAATCCCAACACCAACCACAATCGTCGCGGTGAAGACCGAGGAGTAGGAGGGGGCCACCAAAGCGACTAAAGCTGCTATGAGCCAAGAAGAAGAGGGTTTTGTCACCCTGGCCGCAGTTCCAAGCAACGAGATGGCTTCCGTCCACAGAGAAGAATCCCCAGCAGAAGGTGTAGAGAGAAAGGTCGTGCCGGGTCGCATGTCGAATTGGCGATTTGGGAAGAAGCCACCTAGATCCGACAAGGAGGAATGGATTGTGTCGCAAAAAACGCGATGCGGAAAGGAGATGGTGGCGCCAGTAATGCCGCGATTTGAGGCGACTCCGGATACAGCGATGACGAATGGGAATCCATCCCATGCGAGGGCAAGGACGAGATTCGCTGGATTGGGGCAGCCGGCTCCAACCATGGCGTCCAGCGAAGCGAAGGTAGAGCTAGAGTCAAGCATCGCCAATGGGAACTTCTCGCCGAAGAGGAAAGCAGCGAATGATCGGGGGGGGGGGGGGGGGGGGGGGGGGGGGGGGGGGGGGGGGGGGGAGTAAATCGCGCAGACACCACGATCTGTTGTGACCCCTGTCGCGGCGACGACGCGCAGGAAGAAAGAGAAGGCAGAGAGGATGTCGTCGGGAGCGCGTTGGCCTTCGATTCGTCGGCTGGGCGAGCCGCCACCGGGAGAGGAGGTGTCAGAGAGAGCGCCGCTGGAGAAGGAGGGCGGCGGATCGAGTCTGCCTGCCTGTTGCTTGAAGACCTTGTCGCGGGAAAATGAGAGGGAGAAGAAGTCGATCGGCGCGGAGGTAACGACAGGGATGAGAGTCGTCGGAGTGGGGCTGCCATCCACCCCTCTGGCGAGAAGCTCGCCAGGCAAGAACGACACGGAGCCGAGGATGGCGGAGGAGGAGACAAAGAAGGCTAGCGTGATGCTCCGTCGTCGTGCGAGCAGCTGCCTCTTCGGGCCTTCACCCAAACCCTACACAACATCTACCATGGGCCATATGGTGTTTCCTGTGGGCTAGATTTTTGGCCGGATTTTGTGGCAAGAAAGGAGAAGATTTTTGGCCTCAATTCAAGACTAAGGGAGCATCTAAGCGGACCACAGTTTATGCGAGATCACGCCGAGCAAGAGCTCAGAGCTGGGCCGAGATCTGTTAGCCAAATTATTGAGGAAGATCACGGGCTTGGGAGTAATAAGAAGTCTGCTGGACTTTCTTTAGGCTGAGTTCAAATGGGCTAGATAGAAACTCTTCCCATGCTTTGCCTCTTGAGAAAAGAAAGTGGGTCGAGTTTCCAAGGAAGAATTGGGCCACCAATGTGCTTTTCTGTTGGATTTATTTTGCAGAAACAAAATAAAAATGAAAAAGTAAGTGAGCTCAATGGAGTAAGAGTTGAGTTTTCAATAAAGCTTAATTCAACCCAATTTGGAGAAGAATGGAACCTAACAGAGCTTGTCTTCACCCCCCAAGTCCATGAAGGAAATTATGGAACAAGAACAATTCACCGGTACTTATTTCGTGGACTTCGAAAATAATGGAGAAGAATTGTTTGGTTATGGAGAACGTGACATGTGTCACGTGAAGAGACAAGAGACGAGGGAAGTGGGAGTTGCGCGAGAAGGGTTCATTCAAGGGATCGAGCGCAATTGGAAACGAAGAAAGCGGAAGGTCAAAGAGGTAAAAGTCAACTACAACCTTGAGGTCAAGGTTGTTTTAAAGAGGGATGGATTGTCAGAAACACATTTATTTCGGGTTTCTATTATTATATTAGGTATGATAGTTATAATTATGGTTAGTAGAGATTTAGTCATATTAGGATTATTATTAGGGTTTCCAGTATTTCCCGATAAATATGTACCTTGGGTTTACGTCAGAGGGAATCAAGAAGAATATTAAGCAAAGTCTCCTAAACCCTAATCTCTCCTCTCAACTCCTAATTTCTCGTCTCTCCTAATCCAATGCCTCGGCCAATTCCCAATTCTATTCTGTTCTTTCTCATCTAAATCTCTAGTTCTTTCCCTCAACCCCTAAATCCCTAATTGTCACGAGTGCCAAGATCAGTCCCGGGATACCCTAAAAGCGGGGTTCTCACAATTTAGAAATGGCAGCTCAATGCCAAAACATGGCAGCAGACCAAGAATCTTAAGCACAAAACAATATACATGTCCCACATGGGAGCTGAATTGAGAATAAAATTAAGCTTCTGATTAATGGACTCCTGATTCTCCTTCTTTCCACAATAAACTGCACCCTTGATCCAGCTTACAGGCAAAGAAAAGAGCAATCCAACAATCCGAAAAGGATAGACTAACTAGTCTTCGGCGAAGATTTCCCAAGCCAGAGAGCTCCCATAACTCTATAGCCACTCGACGTTGGAGAAAGGTGTGGCTAAGAGTTTCCGCACCATCCGAGCAAATCGGGCATGTAGCATTTGTGATCAACCGCTTCACCTGAAGTACCGCACGAACTGGAAGAAAGCCCAGAACCGATCGCCACAAAAAGAATTTGAGCTTGGGTAGAACCGGCAAGCTCCAAAGCACCTTCCAAAATCGTTCGTCACAAGGCAATGGGATGGGTGGATGAAGAGCAAGCAGTTCATTAGAAAGCACGTGGTAACTCGACTTGACAGTGTATTCCCCGTTAGGGGAGTAATGCCAAATTATATTGTCTGGTTGCGGATGGAGCGCGAGAGGTATGGACATGATCAAGGCTACCGAATAGGGCTGAAACGGACTTTTCAGCAGCTGCAAGTTCCATGAACGAGAAAATGGACAAATGAGTTCAGAGACAAAAATTGGACAAGCCCAAACATGTTGAAGTAACAGCGGAGAGGAAGGTGGGTTTGACGGCAACCACTTATTTGAGAGAACTTGAACGGTTGTCGCGTCGCCAATCCGCCACCACAGGCCCCTAAGGAGAAGGTCCCGTCCAGCTAAAATGCCCTGCCAAGCCCAGGACGGGCGAGGACCTGGTCTGGCTTCCAAGAAGGAGGTGTGAGTAGGGGTGTTCAAACGAATTGGTTACCATGGTAACCATATTAACCTGTAGTATTTGGTTAGTTTGGTTTTGTTAATTTGGATAATTGGTTTGGTTTGGTTAAACAATTTATCTTATTTGGTTTGGTTTCAACACTGCTAACCAATGAAACCAATTAACCAATTAATAATACTCCTAATATACAAAATTATTTATACTTCCATGCAATCAACCAAACCAAACTTTCGTGATTCCCTATTTTATTTCCATGTGCACAACAAACCAAAACATTATGGGTCAAAAATTAAATGGGCCTGCTTATTTACTAAACCAAAACATTTTGGACAACTACTAGACTTTAGGATTACGTACAATACTATGACAGCCACATCAAACTATGTATAGTTTAAGTGTTTTGTAGGAGAGCTTTAACTTCCTGATGAGGTGTCTTGGTATGTATTTACGTTAAGGGGTTTGTTGTAAGCTAACTATATTAGGTGCAGAGATGATGAATGATGTATTAACTCGAATGATGATGATAATCATGGATGGTTAGTCTTGTTATTATTGCTTATATATAATGATAGTTTATGATAGTAATAACATATGGTAATGTTTTACTCATTAACTAGATAATTGTTTTCATGTAATATTATGTTATTTGGTTAATCGGATTATCCAATTAACCAAATCAATTAAACTTTGGTTTGGTTAATTTGGTTTCGTGTTAATTTGGACGATTTGGTTAATACATTTTATTTCATGGTTAATGACATTTATACTTAATTGGTTTGGTTATTACCACTGTAACCATTTGAACACCCCTAGGTGTGAGGGTGATACCTAGCACGGTACAGTTCTGCCAACGTAGAGTCCGGATTGGTAAGTACCCTCCAAGCTTGTTTGGCCGGCAATGCAATGTTGAAACGATCAAAGTCTCGAAACCCTAGACCCCCCTCAAATTTGCTATGGCACACCTCTTGCCACGAGAGCCAATGCATGCCGACTTCTTTATCTTGGCCAGCCCACCAAAACCGCGAGAGTTGACCGTTTAACCTGCGACAAGTAAAAGCTGGCAAGAGAAAAGCAGACATAGCATAAATAGAGGAAGCTAACCCTATGGATTTTATCACTGTTTTCTTGGCCGCCAGGGACATACATTTAGATTTCCATGAACGAATACGACTAGCCAACCCCTCCTCAACAAACCTGAAGGTTTGAGTCTTCGACCTCTGCATATGGACCGGTAGCCCTAAATACTTATCTTGAACTTGAGAATCAGCCACCCCAAGACAAGCCCCCAAAGCCGCCCGTTCCTGTTCGGAAATATTGGAACTCACAGACATAGAAGACTTGGACAAGTTCACTCATTGTCCACTAGCCCGCCCAAGCTCATCCAGAGGAGAAAGCAAAGCATTACATACCGGTAAGGATGCCCGAAGGAAAAGGTAGGTGTCATTGGCAAAAAAAAGATGGGAAGTCATAGGAGCAAAGCGATGGACACGCAAACCATGCAGCGAGGCAGCCATGATCTCACTGAAAATCTTGGCGGAAAAAGCTTCAGAGTAAATCGCATATAGTAGAGGAGAGAGGGGGTCACCTTGTCACAAACCTCGTTGAGGCCTGAAGTACCCATGAGGGTTCCCATGGATCAACACCGAAAAGGACACCATGGATATACACGCATTGATCCAACGCCGCCACTCATAATAGAAACCCAGCTGCTCCATGATCAGCAACAGAAACGATCATTCGACCCGGTCGTATGCTTTTTCCATATCAAGTTTAAGCGCCATCCATTTATCCCGACCCTGCACCTTAGTTTTCAAATATTGCATAACTTCTTGTCCAATTAAAACATTGTCAGTAATGGATCGACCACGCACAAATTTATTCTGAGTGGGCTAACAACATCAGGAAGAATCACACTTAGCCTTGCAGCCAAAAATTTTGCAATGATTTTGTAGAATACCTGACACAAACCTATTGGGCGGATTTGGCGCATTATATCGGCATTGAGGACCTTCGGCAACAAGGAAATCAGCGTATGATTGAAACTGTAAAGAAGTCGGCCAGTGCGAAAG